AAATAAATCTGTGTCCGAAATCGTCCCCTATACCCTTAAATAGGGCACTATTTGAGGGAACAGCCATTTTTAGTGGTGTCCGAAACCACAGTGGACGTTCTCGAGTGCACTCATTCAATCCCACAATGCACTGCAAAAACGAGTGTACAACTGGTGCAGAACCGATCACCGGTGATCACCTCAAGATGCATGCCGGTTAGAAAAGTGTCCGAGTTACGTCCGACTTGCTCTGATGTCATGCTGACGTGTGCAAAAAAGCTCTCGCGACGGCGAGGCGGCTGTGTCGGATTGTGCAGTTGAGCGCAGTTGCTCTCCACCGACTGCGCTGATCAAAAGCATGATGGGAAACGACTGACTGACGACACAGCATAATGCTCATTGGTTCAGACACCTGTGCTGCGGTTCTCTTCTAAAAAAAATTTTTTAAATCTGATTTCATGTGATTATGTATTTAAATTATGCATGAATATTCTGAAACACGATGACAGTGTGACTCTGCGAGAGATATGTGATTGTTGTCATATTTCTATAAAAATCTAAAATACATGGTTGTATTAAAATAAAAATGGATGATAAATACACCTTTCGTATGGAATTAAATAGCAAGCACTTTAAGTGTCTTGTTCGTCATATTTATTTTCATATAAAAGTATCAGAACTGAAATTATATCATGTTAATAAGCAACACAGCCCGTGAGTGAGAATAACGCGATATCTGCCTTTGATCTAGTTGGTATCTGTTCCCTTCGAGAGGTCAGAACTGTCCGTCTTGACTGGGCTTATTTTACTCCTCCCCTCACTGCAGCCGCCTACTCTCACCTACATTTCAGGCGAGGCGCATCTCAAGCCTATTTTTTGCCGAGATCTCGCGAGAGGTCACGGAAACCTTTCCAATGTAAGTTAAATATTAATATAATAATTAGATATTACATATAATTTAGTAGAAAAACTGTGTTTTTACATTTTATTGGTGCAAAGATGAGTAGTGGTGATATTTATTGTGTACAACATTTGCAACTGCTATTTATCACAATTAGAAGCACCACAAATTAAAATTATGTCACGTTATAGGGACTATTGAACAGCTTAATTAAAATTTTAAATACTTAGACATTTAGAAGTTGATTTTAAAATACAATGTAAACACTTGGATTTTTACACTATAAGTGTGTCCCATCAGGTAATGAAAAGTTCGCCACACACTTGCGGTCTTCATCCTCACTTGAACACTTCGGCTAAATACAGGAAATACGTCACATATGTTGACAAAGTGGTCAAGTGCAAAGACTGCAAGTGGGGGTATTGGGACAAGGCATGCCTGAATGGCTGAGCAAGTCCTCCATCAGGTTAAGTCCTATTCATGAAAAAAATCAGTTTGCGATGTCCTAAGAGTAATGTTGTCGTAATATCCTAATATCTTTTCAATGTTTAGGGGTAACGTATTCCCTCATGACTGGTGTTAGTGCTATAAAATGAAGCATCAGCTTCAGCTTTCCCCCCTGTCGTTTACCCCAGCGTTTACCCCTCACGTCACTAGCTCCGCCCTTGCGCCATAGCTCGTGACCGGAAGAGAAGATGAGTCCTTTTGAGGGGGCGGGGAGGTTAACGTTTTTGATCAAAGATTACAAGGGCACATGAATTAAAAAAAAAAAAGTATGAAGTGCACGGATAAATTATTTATAATAAACACTACAGTATTCCATTAAAAAATAAGAATTTTAAATTTTGATTTCATGGTGACTAAGTACACAGTCTTATACCTTTGTCTTTTTGTCTGATTTTCAAAAACGTTTTTGTTTCAAATCAAAATTTATACTGTTGTCATTCTTCTTGTAACTGGTTGGATTGGTTCATGGCTTATAGTGCTTCAATTAAGATTTAAAAAAAAAAATCCCTATGGGAAGTTCAACATAACAGATGGTCTTATTATTGGGAGATACGAGGGTCGGTGGTTCTACCAGAGATTGTCTATATGGAGATGAGAGGGTCTGTATTACTATTGGAGAAAGTATAATGGTCAACTTGGATCACGTGTGCCTTAATAACCAATCACATCACAGCCAGCGTTGTGTGACAGTCAATTGACTGTTTTAAGGATACCGGAATAAATTAGGAGTGCCTCAAATGAATCCCACTGTCACAAAAACTCTGTGACTTAATGGCATTTTTTTTCAGTGTAGACTCTCTCGTCTCTTTCCCTGCATATCGCCAAAGCCACAGTGTTAGCATTAGCCGTTATGCTCTTTTGGCTAAAGGGTTGCAGTCTTGCCTTTGAGTAGCTTTGAATAGTTTCCAAGAGTGTGTTTATAAATCCAATGAGGCTGTAAAAGTGCAACTGAGAAGATGAGAGTTCCTTGTTCTGTGTGATGTTTAATGGCCCTGCCGACCTCTGTAATCTCATTTAGCAACCGCTTTTTTTAAGACAACTAAAAGCACAAAGGGGTATACTGATGTACTAAACCTTATTTCCTCCTGAAACATAGCAGTGTGTTAAAACAAATTTTTGTAGCTTGGCTGACAGGAAATATTATTACTGTCTGTTTTCAACCAGTTGCTGTACAGTACAGTGTATGCATAATTATTAGGCAAGTTGATATTCTGATCAATCCACAATTCCAATCCACACCAATAACTACTATTAATTTTGTATATTTTCAGTGTGTTAAATCTGATTTCGGCCCATTTTATCTGTAAAAGAAAACACATACCATAGGAATAAATATAAGGCATTTTTCACTTCCAGCCCTCATTAACAACTATATCACTTATAAATTATATACAAAATGAATATTAGTAATTAATAAAGATTGATGCTGAAATGGTCAAATTGGCAGCAAATCTACCCCGTGAGTCATCATAGTACACTTTGTCTCACACAGAGTTAGGGATGGAGTTTGGAAGATGGGATGCGGTTTTTGGAAGAACTTACTCCACAGGCCACAATTTATTTTGTCTTTCTCTGTCCTAAGGTGGAAGAAGACTGTGCAGCCAGCTAGAAAAGCTGCATACTACCTAGTTGCTTGTGCTTACATCATTAACGGTGTTGAGATTAATTTGCCCATGTCTGCTGAAAGATGAAAAATTTACGGACAAATATCCTCTCTACAAACCAAGTTCCTGTTTGCGGTTGAAGTTTGTGGCCTGTATGAACTAAATTCCAGACTACCAACTATGTTCACTTCTACGGAGGATGCTTCTGTATCATAAATAAATTTACGATAATTTGATAAAATTGTATACTTATATGAGTTAACTGACATTTTGAGACGATCCGAAAAAAACAACAAAAACGAATAATTTGAAGTTATGCAGTTTTTCAGATATGAACAAATTGAGAATGGCAGATTTACAAAATAAGCTAGTTCACATCTATAGGAGAAAGGCTGAATGAGCCTGTGTAAGGTCAAGGAAAAGATGGAGAATACAGCCTACATTTTTAGAGAAAAATCAGGCTACTTTAAATAGACAATTCATCAAGTAAAAATTAATGATAAAATCACAAATTACCCTAAAGAGATCTGATTATTGCTCCTCTATTTACAACAGGCTATACAATTGGATAAAAAGGCTTCTATTGATTTGTAAAAAAATAATAATTAGGAGAGGTTAAATAATTAAGAATAAAAACTATGTCTGATCAACCCATTTGTTCAGATAATTGGTTCTATTAACATTTACATTTATTCATTTGACAGATGCTTTTATCCAAAGCGACTTACAGTTGAGGAATACAACAAGTGATGCATCATTAGATGGCAATAAACAGGAGAAGTGCCTGTTATACAAGGTTTCAGTCATCGTTCAAAATAGTAAAAAGCTAGGACAGGAGGATAACAAGAGGACAGAAAAAGTAAAGGCATAAAAATATATATTATTATTATTATTAGAGGCAGTTAGATGCTCATGGAAGAGATGAGTTTTCAGTTTTTTCTTGAAGATTGTGAGGGGTTCTCCTGAAACTGACAGTCAAACAACAATTTTATAAATAATAAAATAAATCTAAATCCAGTCTCCCATCATCCAAGACTCAAAGGCTGATGATATACGGGGCAACTTTTTTTGAGCAGTGTTGCTTGGGCACTTTCCCACTGAGAATGGGTAACAACTTTCTATCTGGAGACTTTCGGTCATGATCGGTCATGGGCCCTGCGTCTCACCTGGTTTCCCGTTGAAGGCAACATTAACTAAAGTTGCCCGGCAACATTGCTCAAAGTTGCCCCATGTGTCATCAGCCAAAGGGTAAATACCTTAATTCCTAAGCCTAAAAAGGTTTATTATTTATTGATAACTGGCAACCAATTAGTCTTTTTTAAAATTATTATAAATGAATTGCTTCCTGCTAAAATAATTTTAAAAAGTGTCGTTTTTATTGATAAAAGTGTGTATTATTGATGAAACCCAGGTTTTATCAAAAACAGGCACATTTCAAATAATACAAGATTAGTATTAGATATATTAGATTTTTCTTATTTGGGTAACATAGTTTTATTTTATTTTTGGCAATGTTTTTTGATACTGTTGATCATGGCTTTCTTAAAAGGTTTTTGGTGGTTTCTTTTGGTAATTTAAACCTTATACAATAAAGCAAATTGCTCAATCAAACTTAAACATGGAACCACTTCTAGATTTGAATTAAAAGGAGAAATTAGACAGAGCTGTCCCATCTCCCCTTATATTTGTTACATGCACTTTGCTTCATTTAAAATATGATGAATGACCAAGTTCTAAATTGCCATTTATCTCTTCTTAGATTTCAAAAGGCACAATAGCACTGAACATTTCACATCCGATCCGTCAACCACCCTTGTACAAGATTGGCCGCAAAACCATCGAAGAGGCAAGAACTTCTTTCATGGATGTACAAACCTGCACTCAAAAAATTAAATTTGGTTTAGGATTTACCTTGAAACAATTTTCACTCAGAAATTGCTATTAAATTTCAAAAATAATTACAAAAAGAAACTGCAAGCAACACACTGAACTAAACATAGTTAGTTTTAGATAGATATATAGTTTTTTATTTTTATTTAAAACTTTTAAAAATCATTTTTAGAGTAAGCAAAACAACAAGAGGACAACAGAGCAAGCTCATTTCTTCACATTACACCATCAGGTAGTAGGCTAGTAAAAAGAAAGAGATGATCGGTTCACATGTGCTCCATGCTGCCGAACTGAGGCTAAATTAAACAGTGCCAATATGACATTTATTATTTAAATTTTGTTATGTAGTTGACAGAATTTCAAAGCTGGGACTTTGTAACAAAGCTTATTGCGATTACTGGATGGTAGGATTGCTACAAATAATATTTAGTGAAGTTTTGTTTATGCATCAACTGAAAAAAATCAGCATATATGAAAAAATTGATTCTTGGGATTAGAGAATCAATATTGGTTAATCAAAACGAAGATTGAATAAATCAAACAAAAACATTGTCTGCTTTGTTTAACTTTAATAGCTTGTCCATGTTTTTATTTATTTATTTATTTTTGCCGTTTTCACCGAATAGTTTAAGTTGGCAAAATTATCAATAATCATTGATTATGATATGGTATTACTACAGTCTCATTTCAGCAAGCAAGGGTTTCTGTTCTGTTGTGGTGATGATCATTTCAGATTTCTCCTCATTGTTCTGTTTTACATTGGCTCCTATACAACACTCATTCTTATGTGTCTGAATCCCGATTGGTCTGTCCTGAGAGCCGTTTGGCTCCTTGTGCAATATCCTCAGCTCACAAAAGTGCTCCTTCACCGGTGCGCTCTCCTGCATGGCCGAAAGTATTGAAGACTGGGACCGTTGTGACAAAAACTTTGAGAACAGCCAGAGAGAAAGTCAGTAACAGAAAACAGTTCACTATTCTTTGCCTCTCTTATTGTTTCACTACCTTTTTTAGGTCCTCGGGCAGGTCAGCATCAGGGAACATAATTCTGAATCCCCTGTAGCCATACCACACAGCCAGAAAGATCAGGACAACAGCGACTAACACCACCAGAAAACTGACCAGGAGCACAACTGCTATAAGCCAGGACTCTACTTCATCTGAGCAGACATAAAACTTAATATTACAGGATATTGAGATTAAGAGAATTAAGGTTAAATCATCACAATAAAACATTAAGTAAAAGTGTACAACACCACAAACATAAATAAATAAACAAACATGTACAAACACAAACTGGTTTGCTTACTGCTGGATGTGTTGGTTAAACAGGTTATGTTGCTGGACTGACTTGATTTGTTCAAATACAAAATTTCTACTTCAATGCAGTAGTTTACAAGAGGCTCCAGTCTTGGTAACACAACTCTGTTCTGCTCTCTTATTAGTTCTTCCTGTTGAGAATAAAAACAAAGACACATTAAGCAGGAAATGACCTGATGATGTCACTGATATAAGCAAAATAGATGTCTTGTGTATTTAGTTTGGTATTGAAGGGAGAAATGTGTGTTCAGATTGGAAACAGTGCGGAGGGAGCTTCAAAGAATGGGTTTCCATGGCCGAGCAGCTGCAAGCAATCCTCACAAGTGATTTAAGCACACCGTCACAGGACTCTGAAGAAGTTAAAACATCTTCTGTGGAGTGACAAATCATGTTTGGTAGTCTGATGGGCAAATCTGGGTTTGGCAGATGCCAGGAGAACGTTACTGACTGCATTGTGCTAGTTTGGTCGGGGCTAGGCCTCCTACTTCCAGTGATTAGAAATCTTAATTCTTCAGCATACCAAGACATTCTGGACAATGCTATGCTTCAAAATTTGAGGGAATAGTTTGGGGAAGGCCCTTTTCTATTCCAGCATTCCCAGTACAGCGAATCAAGGTCCATAAAGACATGGTTGAATGAGTTTGGTGTGGAAGAACTTGACTGGCCCACACAGAGCCCTGACCTCAACCCCATCAAACACTTTTGGGATGAACTGGAAGAGATTATGAGGCAAGCCTTCTTGTCCAACATTAGTGCCTGACCTCACAAATGCTCTACAGGCAAAAATTCCCACAGAAACACTCCAAAATCTTGTGGAAAGCCTTGCCCGAAGAGTGGAAGCTGTCATAGCTGCAAAGCGGAGACCAACTCCAAGTTAATGTCTATGTATTTAAAAATTTCATTAAAGTCCCTGTTGGTGTAATGGTCAGGTGTCCCAATACTTTTGTCCGTATAGTGTATATTATTATACCTCTCTATATTAAGCAAATAGTCTACATTCAAGCCTGAAAAATGCTTGATATAAAACCCTCCAGCCTAGGGCGAAGTCATTATGTATGTTAAAAATGATTTGGGACAAATCAATCACACAAATCACAGACAAAACACTTTTTGATAGTTGTTATACGAATCCCTTGTTTGTCCTGAGGACTTTTAAACTGCCCACTGTTTTCCTGCATTTTCTGCATATTTGAATCTTTTCCAACAAGTGAGGACAGTTGAGGGACTCATACTCAGCTAATAAAAAATGTGAAAAGATGATCATCAGAAGAGAAACAATTGAACATGAAGGCAACATGACGCATTAAGAGCAGTGAATCTAAACTAAAGATATACTGAAGTATATTTGATTGTGCTGAAGTGGGACTATAAGTATACTTCAGGTACACTTTAAATATCTTGCATTTAAAAGACTAATATTATTCAAAGATCATACAATTCTCATCAATAGTGACATTAAAACAAATGTTAGGCTTTATATTAAGAAATATATATATATATATATATATATAAATAATATAAGAAAGTAGTATTCCAAATAAGTTTAATTATATTTTTTACATCAGTCAGTCTTGAGCGATATGTCAGTAAATTTGTTAATAGATTTGAACTATACTTAGTATGAAATAAATATATTATTAATATAATACTTTCTTTTTTTACTAGGGTAGGCTCTTTAGTACATTTAGTCCTGGTCTTTTTGTACGGCTCTTTTTCATTTAGTACTGCTCAAGAGCTACAGAAGATAATTACATGTTTTCCAGAAGACAGACAGCAGATTCTTTTTCTATTTAGCGCCCAAACTCTGGAACAATCTACCTAGCGTTGTTCGGGAGGCAGACACACTCTGTCAGTTTAAATCTAGATTAAAGACCCATCTCTTTAACCTGGCATACACATAATACACTATCACATTTCTATAATTCAAATCTGTTAAAGGATTGTTAGGCTGCATTAATTAGGTCAACCGGAACCGGGAACACTTCCCATAACACCCAATGTACTCGCTACATCGTAAGAAAAATGGCATCTACGCTAATATTAGTCTCTTTCATTCTTATTCCGAGGTCACTGTAGCCATACGGATCCAGTCTTTATCCAGATCAGATGGTGGATCAGCACCTAGAGACGACCTCTACAGCCCTGAATGTCAGCGGAGACCATGTCAACTAGATGCACCCCAGAGACAGATCCCCTGCGAAGACCTCGTCACCTCGACGACCATCAGCACAAGACCACGGGAACCAGACGGGAACTCTGTGTTGCAGGCTGGAATTAAACCACGCCATGCTGGTGTCGTCTGGCCAGAGGAGAACTGGACCCCCCCCGACTGAGCCTGGTTTCTCCCAAGGTTTATTCTCCATTTCTGTCACCAATGGAGTTTTGGTTCCTTGCCTTTGTCGCCTTTGGCTTGCTTAGTTGGGGACGCTTGATTGACTGATTGCACAGACATCACTGAATCATCATTTATCTTGGAAAATGACTCCGTTATTGTCTTCTTGCATTATTGACAAACTATTTTCCTGTTTGACACTGTAAAGCTGCTTTGACACAACCAGTATTGTATAAAGCGCTATACAAATAAAGGTGACTTGACTTGAAGACACCATACAATTCAAAACATTTACATCACAATAGTCCCTTTAAAGTTTTAACATCCAACCATAAAATGTAAATTATATTTCCTGCAGCAGCTCACCCTGTGTCCTGTGGTATTTTTTAGATGCGTTTAATCCATAGAACTTTGTTATTTACTACTGTGAAGTGACATGACTGGTAGATGTTAAAGACAGTGTTAAAGACAGTCTTGCCACAGTCTACACGTGGATCTGTGCTTGGTAAAGTCCATAGACAGAAGTAAGTAACTGCATGTGATGTAGTTACTATAGAAACTGGTACTTCCACCAAAATGATACATATTTGAAACTGTTTTAAATTAAAAATGGGTGAGTGGCAAGTTTATGCCAAATGCAAATGTAAATAGGAACAAACTGTGATTAATGTTGAACACTAAATTGAATTAGCAATATTCTGGTAATGGGGTAGATCGTTTTCTTGTGGTAGAGTACAGGCTGAATGGTGTGTTGTGGGGGCCCAAAGGGTGGTTTTGCTTTGAGGCCCAAAAACTTCAGAGACATTAATGCATTCATTACCTTTTTTGTTTCGCCTTTTTTCCAGAAACGGATGAGATAGGAAACATAGCTGAAGACATCCCTCAAATTCCTTTTTTTCATAGGAGGATCAGTGATATCAACTTCTGTTTGTCCTTTTCTGCTTCTCAGTCCTACTTGAGGAGCGCTAACCTCAGCTGCAGACAAAACACATGCACACATGTAATAAAACAGGATTCCCTTGATACAAAATGCTTTTATGATTATTAATAAAATGCAATGTTTGATATACAACGCATTCAGAAAGTCTCCAGCCCCCTCCCCCCCAGAACAAAGGCCTCCAGTAGTGAATCGATGCGTTTTTGTAAGAAAAATATCCATATTTAAAACTTAATAATCACTTTAATCTAGCTTGCGCTCACAGTTGTACATGGAAGCAGTTCCGGACGGACGACATAAGATGTTGGCGTTGCGCATGCGCCGGTGAGTCTCGTGAAAACAAACATTTGTTAACAGGAGCAAAGGAAGCAAAGTTTCCTTACTTTAGCAAAGGAAAACCAGTCTCCTCTGGGCTTATATCGAAATCCTCTGACATTCTTCTTTACAAGTCCTCGTTTTGTACTTCTAATTCGTGACCATTGTTTTGTTTTGATCTCTCCACTGCGTTCCCATGTTGCGAATCAGCTCATGGGGAAATATGAATAATTAACCATAACTAGTTATAGGTGAGGTTATATTAACTAGTGGTCTATGATAACATGCATAAAACAGCATACACTACAACAGACAATATGCAAGAACAGTAATGGTATACACAATGTCCTGAAGGATATGTGTATTCAATCAAAGAAAGGTTTTCCTATGAATTAATTAGAGAACAGTCCATTTCTCTGGGCATTATGTGTCTTTCTTATGAGGAAAATGAGGGAGTTTGTCTGCCCGCATTCCTTTAGGCCATAAAACCAGTGATATCAGCATTGGTTACCATGGAACCAGAGGCCTGTTCTGCCTTTCTGAGGTGTTAGGTGCATTTCGGGGGAAGGGTCCATAGACCCTCGTAATTGGCCATTTGGTTAGGTGAGGGGGAGTTAGATATTATTTGTTAAATATAACAAAAAGTTGTGTCTGATTGGTCCAAATGCTACACCCACGTGCGTCACTTCTGAGCGGCGCATGCGCAATGCCGACGTCCTACGTCATCCGTCATCCGTCCGGAACTGCTTCGGTTTACAACAGTGAGTGCAAGCTAGATTAAAGTGATTATTACGTTTTGAATATGGATATTTTTCTTACAAAAACGCATCGATTTGCTACTGGAGGACTTTGTTCACCCCCCAGGGCCGTGTGAGACTTTTTATTTTTATGGATGGGCGCTTTTTATTTCACTTCTTTTGGACTGAAGCAATGCAACAATGACTGGCATTAAACAGCTTGAAAGATCAAAGACAATTTTTTAGATAACTCCGACTGGATTTGTCTGAAAGAAGAAAGTCATATACACCTAGGATGCATTGAGGGTGAGTCATTTATGAGCTAATTTTCATTTTTGGGTGAACTAACCCTTTAAGTTTTTTCCCTTAACTGTGTAATTGTTTTCTTAAGTTCTGTTATGTGTTCTGTTAGTAACCATTTCACCCTAAACAACATTAAGGGACCACAACAGCTCCCTTCATCTGCTGAACTTAAACGTGATGGATGGATTTCATGTAAATTGGGTTCCTATCTGCTGTGCTACTGAGTATTTTGCAATTGTAGCTCTGTGTAGCTTTGTTTTTCTGTTGGAATCTTTATCTATTACTTACTATCACTTTCTGTTGTTTAAACTGCTAAAATATAACTTAATTATCACCATGGCCGGACTTACCATTGGGCTTGACTGGGCTGCATCCCAGTGCGGGGACCGCCTTAACCCGTTTACATTTGTTCAGTTATGTGCCAGTCAGAAATTATTAGTCGCATTTCAACAGCGCGCACGGGCCAGCCGGGGCTAACAACTTCCAGCTTCCAACTACGACATTCGAAGCCATAATCAAACACCATAAACTGGACTTTATGATTTTTTTTCACATAGAAAAAGGACACACGTATTAAATCATGTCTGCTCGGCGCTGAATCGCCGATTAATTTGTGATCACATGGCTATACTTTAAACGCTTCCATTAAGCCTTTAGCTCAAAAGAGCGCACATTTACAAAGATAATGATATATTCTCACATGTTCACGCCTCACTTCTTTACAGAGGATGATTCTATATTATAGTAATGTTCCACTAATTTAATCTGAAGAGTTTTGAGCGCTCTCGTCCAAAGACTATAGAATACCCTAATATCTTACAGGGACTTTGTCCCGTCTCACTACCTCCACACAAAGTGGAGCAGAAATTTCACCAAGACGATTAAAAAAAAAAAATAATAGCCATTTACAGGGTTCGTACGGTCATGAAAAACCTAGAAAGCTTTGGAAAAGTCGTGGAAATTTATTTTACAAATCTCTATATAATAGAATATATGTTTAATAACGTCCTGAATCTCGGTGCGAGATTGCGCATTTTGGTTTGACTCATTTTCGCAGGTTTCGCACGTTTGGAAAATTCCCGCAAACATGTATTTAATATACAATGTAGGTTAGATGAGTTAAAAAAAAAAAATCACACAGAATATCAGATTAAGTCAATCATTTGAAAACAGCGTGAGTGGTTCAGCTGTACCGCGTCTTCTCGCTCTCACTCTCAAAAAAGCGCATCTCGTCTGCACTAAGATAGCTGCTGCAGGCTGCCAGACAAGACTTTCGCTCAGCTGACAGGACTGTCACTTGCCTAATCGGGTCAGTGTTGTATCATCATAAACGTTTATGATTTGCACGTCTTTTTAAAACATTCGGTACTTGCGCTATCTAAACTATTTTTCTGGGCGCTCACGGTCACAATCCAAAGCGCCCGCACATGAAGCCGCGCAAACACCTCCAGAAAAAGTTATTGTTTTCATTGTTTCTGACTCAAGTAACCTTGCTTTCTAATAAATAATGTTACATAAAGACAATTAAACGGTCAGTATAAATGAACAAGTTAATAGCAATAGCACAAGGATACAAATGAAACAAACTGTGCTTTAACTTTTTCAGGTAGGCTAGCTAACAGTAGTTGCTACTATTCAGAAATAAAATACTATGATGTATAAAGTCATAGATATAGATTATATTTATATATTGATCCATATTAAATATGAAAAAGTTATTTAGTCAAGAGCAGATTTGAGCAGAGTGATTTTTTTTGTTTGTTCTTTAACACAGACTGACAGACAGCAGATATACTAAAAGCTGACTCACTTTCATACCAAATGTTAATCAGGGTTTCTGCAGACATGAACAAGTTAAATTTAAGACTTTTTAAGACCTTTTTAATACCACCTTATATGAAATTGAAGACCTAAACCTGTAATGGAAATACACATTTTATTAGATACATATGTAATATTTAATTTGTATAAATTAAAAAGAAAACTAAATATTATTGCTGTAATAAATTATATTTATTACTACGATATACAGTGAATTTTTCATGTCAGCAGACAATATTCCATACAAAATATCCCCGCAAAATAACTGCATCACTGAGATTTTTGGTGGCGTAAACAATTTATTCTGAAGCAATATTTTCATCTGTGTTCTATAAGCTATGCTTCTATGTGTTCTATCAGCTTTTACATACTTAAATCTGCATATTTACCTTTACAAAGGCCTATTTTTAAGCTTTTTAGATGTATGCATCATCTTACATGTCAAATTGTTACAATTTATCAATAAATTAAATATCCACTATAGGGCTGCTACCAGTCAGATTAAATAATTTACACTGCAAATAACTAATTACAACTGCAATAAATAATGTTATGAGATTAGTGTTTTAAATGCATTTATGAGTATACAAATAAGAAATGTTGAGGGGAAAAATGCATACTTTTCAAAACACTTCTCAACTAAACTACCAGTAAGTGACAGTAAGACACTTAATGAGCGAGTATTGAGTCATTCATTCAACTGATTGAGAGTGTTATCATGCTGGTATCTTAAGGACTTTCGTGGACAGCTGACTCCTAAAGTTTTTGATATTCTTCATATTCTGTGTGGTGGTCAGATAAGTTTAAA